GGCAGCAGGTGCCTTTACCTGCAGAGCAATCTCAATGGCCTCTCCCAAGTCCTTCTTAATAAACGGGACGCACACACACACACACACACACACACACACACATCAAGGTCTCAGCAATTGAACACTCCTGTTCAAATCCTTACTTGCCACAAACCCACTGAGCAGTTTTGCAGGGGGGGAGTGGGGGCAGGTAGGTCTGCTGAGCTGAAGGAAGTATAGCCCGTTTCACAACACTTCCCTCAACACTGGAGGAGAATGGCTCCTCGCTCAGCTCACAGCCCTACCTGCCTCCCTCATCCTCACTAGAGTGGCTGCTCGTGTACACAAGCTGAGGAATTATTTTTTCTGAGTGTTTCATGTAGCCCAGGATGGTCTTCACCTCACTAAGTCACCAAGGCCAACTTTGAACTCCACATCCTTCTGCCTCCACCTCCTGAGTTGCTAGGATCATACCCTAGTTTTTCTTTTTTTTTTTGGCGGGGGGCAGGGTTGTTGTATAGCACAGTCTGGCCTATAATTTTCTGTCTCAGCCTCTGGGTGCTGTTGTGACAGGTAGGTGTGAGCCATCAGGCCAGGCACTTGGCTCTTTTCTATCAGTGGGTTCCTAGTGACTCTGCATGCCTCAAATTCCTGGAGACACCTTGGGAGGGGGTGAGGGATGTCTTCATAGACTCTTGTGTCATTTGATGGCAGCCTCTAGCTTTAGTAGCCAGCGCTCTGCCCCTACCTAGGTCCCCAGGGCTCTCCTCTGCACCCAGGGCAACCTGCTGGCAGCATCTGTAAAGGAGAGAGGCTCTTTGCAACTTTCTGATCTGCATGGCCCTATAGATCAGTTAAAGGCCCTGAATGGTGATGCACAACTTAAATCTCAGCACTCTGGCTGCAGAGAGTAGGCAGAACTCTGTGAGCTTGAGGCCAGCCAGGGCTACACAGTGAGACCCTGTCTCAAAAACTTGGGGCTGGAGGGACTGGAGAGATGGCTTTGCACTTAAGACTACTGGCTGCTCTTGCAGAAGACCTGGGTTCGATTCCGAGCACCCACATGACGGCTAACAGCTGTTCATAACTTCAGTTCCAGGGGATCCAACACCCTCTTCTAACCTCCGCAGGCATTGTGCAACATTGGTGCACTTACATACGTGCAGGCAATACACTCATACACATAAATAAAAAATAATAAAGCTGGCCGTGGTAGTGCACACCTTTAATCCCAGCACTCGGGAGGCACAGACAGGCGGATCTCTGTGAGTTCAAGGCCAGCCTGGTCTACATAGTGAGTTCCAGGACAGCTGGGGCTGCAAGGAGACCCTGTCTCAAAAAGACCAAAATAATAATAATAACAATAATAATAATAATAAAATAGTCTGGGTGTGGTGGCGCACACCTTTAATCCCAGCACTTGGGAGGCAGAGGCAGGTGGATCTCTGTGAGTTCAAGGCCAGCCTGGTCTACATAGTGAGGTCCAGGACAGCTGGGGCTACAGGGAGACCCTGTCTCAAAAGGACAAAAAAAAAATAATAATAATCATAATAACTATTTTTAGAAAACACAAGTACACACCAATTACAGGAACACTGGCCATGGACCGGAGAGATGGCTCAGCAGTTAAGGACACTGGTTGCTCTTGAAGAGGACCTGGGTTCAGTTCCCAGCACCCACATGGTGGCTAACAACTGTTCATAACTCCAGTCCAGGGAATCTGACACCCTTTTCTGACCTCCACAGCATTGCATGCATGGGTACACTTACATACATGCAGGCAATATACACTCATACACATAAAATAAAAATAACAAATGCAATATTTTTTTTAAAAAAAGAAACACTGGACAATCAGCATCCTCCAGGCACAGGCCTTAACCAACGGAGCTCAGCAGATAAGCTCCCAGTGACCACCACTCACCACTCTGTCTCCTCCACCGGCTGGCGCCCCCCACCCCACCCCAGGTTGTACCTGGTGGTGACCTGTTTCTTGCAGGTCCTCTCCCAGTCTCCATGGGTCACCTCCCAAGTAAGCTAGTCACCCTTAAGTTGTCTCTGGATCTGCTTTGCAGCGCCCAACCCGACACGCCTGCTTGCACTGTGGAAATGGGCAGCCTCGCCCCACAAGGCTGAGTCACAGTCACCGCCAGGTCACTCACACCTGGATGCTAGGCCAAAAAGATAGCTCAATGGGCAAAAGTGCTTGCTGCCAAACCTGATGACCTAAGTTCGATCCCCAGGATGCACATGATGGAAGGAAAGGATCGACTCCCAAAAATTGTCCTCTGACCTTCACACACAAGCATACACTTGATATAAACAGAACTAAAAAGAAACATGCACAGTGCCTGGCACATAATACTGCTGGATAAACGACCCCAGTCTTATGACTGAGGTGTCTGTCCGCAGTCATATTGCTATAAAAGGAAATTTCTAACTGCCCCTGCCTTGGGCCATACACAACCTGGACAGCTGGGTCAGAGTTCCCCCAAGGGCCAGGAACTTCAGCTGTCCCTGTGTCACTAGCCAGGACTTCCAGAGTGCCCCTGGGACAGACACTCAGAGAGGCCACATGTCTGTCCCGGAGGTTGTAGGTCAGGAAGCAAAAGGGCAAAAAGGGGAAAAGAGTCAAAGTTGGAGGCAGAGGGAGCACAGTCAGACTTTCATGATGCTCCCAGCCCCCGGTCCCCCTCCCCAGCATGAGGTTCCACCCTGGAGTTCCCAGAGTGAGGGACATACCCAGATACCAGGGCCTACCCTACGGGACATGCCCCAGTGCTGGGTCCTGAGGACAGATTCTCTTCCTAAGCTACTCAGCTGTCAGGCCTGAACAGCTATAGCACCTACGGCAGCCAGGCCCCAGGGGGCTCCAAGGACGTAGCCCAGTGACCTCAGATGATTCAGCTCTGAGTGGACAAGCCAGTGAGAAGTCAGAGCATAATGCCATGGCAAGGGTAGGAGGGCTTAGGACCTCGCCAGTTCTGTTCAGTCAGTTGAGTCACTGACAAGCTGGGTGGCCATGAGTGAGTTTCTTGGGCCTCAATTTTCCCATCTGTGAAATGGGAAGGGGCAGGCCAAAAGTGTGGCTGAGCAGTATAGCCCATCTAGAATCCCCCAGTGAGGGGCTGCAGGTGTGGTCCAGTGGAAGAGGCCTTGCTGAACACGGGTAAGGCCCAGGGTCCCACACCCAGCACTGCAGAAAAAAAACAATACTCTGATCAGAGTGTGGTAGTGCACGCCTTTAGTCCCAGCACTCTAGAGGCAGAGGCCAGCCTGGTCTACATAGTGAGTCCCAGGCCAGTTGGGGCTACAAGGAAACCCTGTCTGAAAAAAATATTTAAAAAAAAAAAAAAAAAAGAAAAAAAAAAGAAAAAAGAAACAATACTCTGGAGGGGTGTGGCTGGTATAGTGATCAGTGCCTGTGATCCTAGCTGAGGCAAGAGAATCATGAGTTCTAGGCCAGCCTGGGCTACACAGGGAGAATCTGTCTGCAATGAACAAATGAACAAAGGGTCCACCTGCTAGGGCTGGAGACGGTGTGGTATCAGTCAGGGCCTTGCTCCGGGCCTTCATAATCTGCCTGTGCATTTTTAGCCCTGGTCTTCTTGGAGATGCGTGTGGTAGAGTCTGCTCTTATCACTAAGGGAAGCTGAGTCTACACAGTGAAGACACATAGGTGAGTGAGGTTGGGGAGTGAGATGCGGAAAGGACTTAGGGGTCCCCTTAGTGCCTGAACTGAGAAACAGTGTACTTAGAACATGAAAGAGGTTCTAGAACTTTCTGCTTGCTATTTTTTTAAACCCATGAATTTGTTCTTTTTAAAAAATATTTGTTTTATTTTTATTTTTCATGTATGAGTACTTTGCCCCTTGGAGGCCAGAAGAGAGCATCAGAGCCCCTGGAACTGGAGTTAAGGATGGTGTTGACTGCCATGTGGATGCTGGGAACCAAAACCAGGTCCTCTGCAAGAGCAGCCAGTGCTCTTAACCACTGATCCATCTCTCAGCTCCAGTTGCTCATTGTAAGAAGCACTTCCCCGTGTTCTGAAGGACAGTTACTCAGATAGCTATGGCCTGCCCCACAGGAGTTCAATTCCAAAAATGGCAATCAAACAATAAAAGTTATTTGTCACCTACCCTATTCCAACCATGTGAGGTGGGGCCAAAATTGCAAGGGGCCCTGGAGGAGAAGCACAGGAACTTGAGACCAGTGGCGCTTCTGTGGGTACGAGGGAGCCACAGCAGGTTCTGAGCGTGAAGGCAACGGTATGAGAGGCAAGGAGACCATTAGGGGCTGAGGGCTCCAAGTTTGCAAGAGATAGCCCACATCAACTGATGGACAGCCTTTCTCACCCCTGTGAGCTACAGATGAGAGAAGCCACACGAGGAAGCGGAAAGAGAGAAAAGAAACAGAGGCAATTATGGAGAGACAGAGAGTGGTGGGAGGAGGAAGAAAGGAGAGAGGAGGAAAGTAACAGGATAGAAGGGAGGAGAGGAGGAGAGAGAGAAAGAAAGACAGAGACAGAAACAGAACAAGAGCTAGGAAGGCAGGCTCCTGTCAGACTTAATGAAACCTGGCCCCAACACCCACAGGCGGAACGCAAAAGTGACAAAGACAGGGACCAGCGACCTGCCATCTGCTCACAAACCCGCTTCATTCTTCCAAATGGTAGCCAGGGAAACTGAGTCTGCCAGGTGCAACCCAGTACAGGTTGTGCCCTGGGGACCCCCTAAGACCTCCCCTATTGTGCACAGGCTCATATGAGCCCCAGACCTATGTCACCAGGTTCTAAATGGAAATGACTCTGGCCTTGTTTTTATTTTTTTTTTTCTTTAAGAAAGCCTAGGCCCAAATAAGGAGAGGGCTCTGGGGCCTGGTGAGCTGGCCAAGTCCTCCTCAGCGAGCGAGTGGAGGCTGGCCCGGCAGCTTGGGTGTCCTCCAAGACTCACCCTCTACAGTCGGGCACCAGCCTATAAGGCCTGGCCCTCCACGCAGGCTGCTCACTCAGCCTCAGCCACAGCCAAGCACAGACCCACGCCCACACCTGCAGGCAGCCATGGAGGCCATCAAGAAGAAGATGCAGATGCTGAAACTGGACAAAGAGCACGCCATCGACCGCGCAGAGCAGGCCGAGTCCGACAAGAAAGCTGCCGAAGACAAGTGCAAACAAGTGAGTAGCCGTGGTGCTGCCCAGCGCCTACCCTGTGCTGCCCTTCATTCCGGTGGCCGGGCTCTGGACCTGACGGTGGGGGCAACGGGAACTCTGGGGCCTGGGGATGGTGGGAAGCTAGCGCCTTGGAATAGAAATGGTGAGGGTACTGGTGGCAAGATGGCTCAGTAGGTAAAGGGGCTTGCTGCCAAGCCTGGAGACCTGACCAATGGGACCCACACAGTGGAAGGAAGAACTGACTCCCACAAGTTGTCCTCTGGCCCCCACACATGGCAACAGCACACATGCGCGTGCACACACACACACACACACACACACGAGTGTGTGTGTTCATCTTAGTGTGATGTGTAAATATATCCTGTTTCTTTACCACAGGGTCACAGGTGTGTGTGTGTGTGTGTGTGTGTGTGTGCGTGCGTGCTGTGTATGTGCATGTGTGTCCGTGTATGTCTATGTGAGTTTGTGTATATGCATGTGCATACTTATGTGTGTGCGTGTCTGTGTCTCTGTGTATGTCTGTGTGTCTGGTGTGGAGAGTGGCAGGTAGGAGGAAGGAAGGCAGCCCTGTTCCCACTTCTGGGGTGCCCTGCACCCTCAGGGCATACCCTTACCATAGGGTCACCTGCCAAGCCCACAGGAGTATCTGGAATCTCAGATAAGGCCGTGGGGCCATAGGCATGGTGAATCCAAACGCAGGGCCCTTCCCAGGTCAGGTGTCAGTGCCCCCAGCTCTGTGCGTCTCTGTGGGCCCAGAATGAGATAAGTCACAGAGCAGCCCCAGCTGACATGGCTCAGGGGTGACTGCACAGGTGGAACCTTTGGCCCAGTGCCTGGCATGGAGTAAGTGCTCAATAAATGTGGGATTATTTCCTGCCCCGCCCAACTTCCCCTTTTGGGCCTTGCCAACCCCCACTGCCCTGAGAGGCTGTGACACATCTGTGTGGCCAGCTCCACCCTCCTCCTTCCTTGTAACCCTCCCTGGAAGACACACTGGCCTGGCCCTGTCCCCAGTCAGACTGCAGGCCTCTATCCATCTCAGAGTCCTCATAAAGGAGGTGTGGCCAGCTCCACCCTCCTCCTTCCTTGTAACCCTCCCTGGAAGACACAGGCCTCTATCCATCTCAGAGTCCTCATAAAGGGCTTGGCTTAGGAGTCAGAGAAAGCAAGTCTGTGCCTCTACTTCTCACTAAATTGTGATTTATATAGCTTAACCTCTCAAGAGAGCTATAAGCTCAAGAGAAGCTTCCCACAGTCCCCAGCCAGTTCTGTAGCCAAAATGGTAGACAGGTTGTACTGCCTCTAGCTGGATCTCTCGCTCTCTCTCTCTCTCTCTCTCTCTCTCTCTCTGTGTGTGTGTGTGTGTCACATGCATGTCCGTTTCTCAGAAGTCAGAGAACATTGGTGTCCTGCCATACCAATGTCTGCCTTACTCCCTTGAGACAAGGTCTCTCTCTGAACCTGGAGCTAGGCTGGCAGCCAGCAAGTCCCAGGATTCTCCTCCTGTCTCTGAAGCTCACAGTGCTGGGGTTGCGGGCACCTGTGCCTTTACATTCAGTTTTATATGAGGGCCTGAGATTCGAACTCAGACCCTTGTGCTTGCACTCCCACCCGCTGAGCCATCCCCAGCCCCGGACTTTTTAGTCATCTTTTCTTTCTTTCTCTAAAGTCACCTGCTCAGAAGGACTTGAGTTCAAATCCAGGTTTCTTTCTTTTTTTCTTTTTAGTTTTTACATTGTTTATTTATTGAGGTAGGGGCTGTGTTCATGTGGAGTCCAGAGGACTTGAGGAGTCGGTTCTCTCCACCATGTGGGTCGCAAGTTTGGACTCAGGTCACTGGACTTTATGCCAAGGGCCTTTCCCTGCTGAGCCATCTCTCCCAGCTGGTTCTTTGACACATGGTCCAGTCATGTAGCTTAGGCTATTCTGCAATCCACAGTACTCCTCCTCCTCAGCCTCCCAAGTACTGGGATGGTAGGCATGCACTCCCACACCTGGCTGCTGGTACCTTCCGTGGTTTCTCTATCTGAGCACCCCTTGAGCTCTTCTGCTAATTCTCTAAGGTGGCCAGACCTGGAACATCAGGTCCCAAAGGCCCCAACAGAAGGCAGGGCGCAGGGAGAGGTGCTGGTCACTCATGCTACTGACAGAGGCTGCAGGGGTAAACACAGACTCCCCTTCCCCAGGGGACCTCATACTGCAGGAGGCCAGAGAGAGCTGGTCAGGAGCCTGGACCTGAGGCCAGAGAGAACCGGTCAGGAGCCTGGACCTCCAAGGACCTCCAGTCAGATCCGGTTCCTGGCTCTCCTGTCCAGTGTGGGGGCAGGATGGACAGCCAGCCTGGCTGCTTCCTGCCTGCTCACTCCCAGGGCAGCAACATCCGCCACTGCTGCCCTTTGACCCCACATCCTGCCTCCACCTCACTAAACTGTGTTCTGTGACCATTTTACTGGGAAATTGAGCCCCCCCAAAGGGCAGTGACTCACAGGGAAGGCTGCTGCACACACCTTACATGTACTTTGTGCATGGAACTTGGTCAGTTTGTATCAGTTCTGTTTATTTTTCATACCCACCTCCTACCACTTCAGACTCTAGAGTGTCATTGATTCAATCAACAAACTTCCTGGGGGCTGGGGAGATGGCTTAGTGGTAAAATGCTTGTACACAAGCATGAGGGCCTGAGCTCAGATCCCCAACACCTACTTAAAGCCAGGTGCAGTGGCATGTGCCCAGAATCCCAACAATGAGATCTACAGATAGGAAAGTCCCAGCAGAGTTAACCAAATCCCTGAGCTCCAGGTTCGGTGACACCCTGCCTCAAAAAACAAGGGAAAGAGCGAGAAAGAAGACAGCTGATGTGAGTCTTTGGCCTCTGTGTGACCACATGGGTGAGCACATGAGCACACACACACACACACACACACACACCATCCACACACAAACACCTCACACACCACAAACACATCATACACAAACACACACCATTTGCGTGTGCAGACAACACACACAGACTCACAAATACACACAGATATACACATAGACACATACCATACATACAGACCACACACTGACACACAAACACCACAGACACATACACACACACATATAGACATACACTCACCACATACAGACTCACAAACACACACAGACACACACACACTTATTCAGACACACACATAAATAAATCTTAAAAAGCAAACAGGCCGGGCGTGGTGGCACACACATTTAATCCCAGCACTCGGGAGGCAGAGGCAGGCGGATCTCTGTGAGTTCAAAGCCAGCCTGGTCTACATAGTGAGTTCCAGGACAGCTGGGGCTACAAGGAGACCCTGTCTCAAAAAAGACTAAAAAAAAAAAAAAAAAGCAAACAAACAGAAATCCTCAAGCTATCTTCACACTCTAAGAGCCCAGCAGGGTCAAATCTCCGTTTCATGCTCAGAGAGTCCCAGTGCTAGGCAAGCACTCCAATCCATTGGTCTGCACAGAAGACAGGTAGATGCCAGGCCAAGCCTGATCTGTGAGGTGTCTTAAAGAAATTGGCTTCCTTCTCAGTCAAAAACAGCTGCCCCAAACGTTCAGAGTCTACCAGGCCCAGGTTTCCATTCTGCAGATGGGAAAACTGAGGCCAGAAAAGGGAGTCACACATCTGAGGCTGGGAGTTGGACCTGACTTGACTTTGGCCTGAAGGGTTGCGGAATCGGGAATGGATCCAGTCACAGGCTGACTGGGAGTATATACAGAGTAGCCTTGGGAACAGCCCGTCATGCTCTCAGTGCCTCACCTAGGACCCCAAGTGCCTTAGGGGACCCACAGAGGCAGGACACTGAGCAGCTTGCCTCTGGCTCTGAAGGGATGAAATGTGAGGGAGATGGAATCTGTGGGGGCTGTCCCTCAGGTTAGATCACCTCAAACTGGGAAGCAGAGGCAGGCCCTCAGGAAAAACAGGAGTAGAGTTTGGGGGCGATTAAGGGACATGTTCAATAAAAGATGCACAGCAAATGCAGAAAATCAAAAAAGATGTAACCCAGGCTTACAGAGAAACCTGTCTTTGAGGGGCGGGTCTTCCAGTGGAGCCTGAAAAACCCAGGATTGAGCTCTTCATGGAATTTTGCGGCATACCCATCAGAAAATTTCTCTGGCTATGAAACTAAGATACAGATCGATCTAAAGGTATTACAGAAAAATTCTTCTAACAGCTAAGAGATCAAATCTTTACCCAGGAGAGAGCCCAAAGGCTCATTTATTCTCTTCCCATGCATGAGGTCCCAGAATCAGCAACCAAGACTTAGATTTTCTGGGCCCTGAATAGAAGTACAGATAGGGCCTTCTTACATCATATTATGGCTGGCACCTGGCCCCTATGTCTCTTTTCATGATACTATCTCAGGAAAATTCCTTCCTGAGTTCACCTGGTCACCATAGTTTTCAAAGTAGATACCCCAGGCGTGGGTCAGGGCATCTGCCCCCCTCTGATCTATAGTAGGACAGGCTAACTGGGCTAGGAATCGATCAGTCATTGCAGCTTACATCCGCAGATATCACTGGCAGAAGTTTCGATATGTCACATTTGATCCACATTTTGGGGCTGATTGGCAGGTGCCTCGTTAAAACGTTTGGTGAACTCCTTTTCTTAGTTTCACCTCTTTATCAGCAGTTATACATGGTCAGTGGAAAGCATCACAGAGGTCAGAATGTAACAGTGATAAAACATCACACGGTAGTGACAACATCACCATCACAGCGATAAAACCTCACTGAAGAGTAAAACACCCTAGGGCTGCATATCAAGGTATCTACCTAGTAAGGGAAACAGAGGGACTTCAAAATAGTGTACGCTCAATTCCTTTAATATAAGAACACAGTTAAAAGACTGTAACTTTTCCTTCTCAGGGGGACCTACCCTGAGCCTAGGGGGGAGAAGTTGGGTTCTAGGGCTGAGGCACATCTTAAAACAGGGGTCACTAGAAAACTGCAGTCCTAAAGATCAGCCTGCCAAATGGCTTCCCCAAGAGCGTGGGTCCCTAGAGAAGGGTATGAAACCTACCAACAGGTAGCATGTGATGCATACTTACTGCAATTTGTGTTGTCTATATATTTTTAATTTATTTTCTGAAGGGGGGTGTTGGGGGTAGGGGTATGTGTGAAGGTCAGGGGATAACTTATGAGAGTCAGTTCTGTCCTTCTTTATGGGTTCCAGAAATTGAACTCAGGTCCTCAGGCTTGGTGGCAAGCACCTTTACTGCTGAGACGTCCCAGAGGCTCCTGTATGTCTGTATATTTTGAGGCAGGGCCTCATGTCATCCAGGCTGGCCTCAAATTCCCGATCCCTCTGCCTCAGTCTCCCAAATGCTATGGTAAGAGGCATGGGCCACCACACCCTGCTGCTATCCATACTTTGCAGATGAGGAAACTGAGGCCCAGAGATGTGGGACCTGTTGCAGAGGACTTTATGAGGCCCAGGCTAACGTCCGCTCCGGTGTTCCCAGGTGGAAGAGGAGCTGACACACCTCCAGAAGAAACTGAAGGGCGCTGAGGATGAGCTGGACAAGGACTCCGAGGCCCTGAAGGACGCGCAGGAGAAGCTGGAGCTGGCGGAGAAGAAGGCCTCCGACGTAAGCGGGGTGGGCAGGGCCGCGCGGGAGGACGAAGAGCCCGGGGGCTGCGCGCCGTCTCCAAATAAGTCCCGAGAGCGGCCAGCGGTGCGGACGTCAGGCCCTCCCCCAGCGGCGCTGACGTCGCCGGCCGCCGGGTGACCTCATCGCCCGGGCAGCAGCCGGGGGCGGGGAGAGGCGGGGGCCGCGTGGCCAAGGCTGGGCCCGGGCGCGGCCCGTCGCTGTCTCCAGAGCGCAGCCGAGCGAGCGCCCCGCCATGGCCGGCCTCAACTCCCTGGAGGCGGTGAAGCGCAAGATCCAGGCCCTGCAGCAGCAGGCGGACGACGCGGAGGACCGGGCGCAGGCGCTGCAGCGCGAGCTGGACGGCGAGCGCGAGCGGCGCGAGAAAGTGAGCGGCCAGCCCCGCTTGGCCCCGGGCTGCCGGCGGGGCACTCCCTGCTCCCTACCCTAGTCCCAGGACCCCGGCCCCCGAACGCTGCTCCCGGATTCGGTCAGCCATCCCCGATCCCCCATCTGGCCCGCACTCCGTGCTCCCTGATCCCGGATCCCGCCCGCGCTCCCGGACCCCACTGCAGACGCTCCCGCCACACGCCCCTTTCTTTCCAGCTCCGGGCACCGACAGCTTCCCGAGCCCCCTCCCACCCCGCCGTCGCGGTCACCCCCGGGACCTCTGGGAACCCCTGACCTCGGGATCGCTGCCCGGGGACCCGGGAGTGGGCACTGCATCCCGGCAGGGCGGGAAATGAGGGCTGGGGTGCGGGGGGAGATGGCCGGAGGGGGCCGTGCTGGGATCCCGAGATCGAGGGGATCTGCGACAGCCCGGCGGACGTTGGGTTCCATTGTCTGCGGCTGGACCGCGGTGGGGGCAGGGGCGACCGCGCTCTCGCTGCTTCGCGGCTGAACTTTCTCAGCAGGTCCCAGGGGCGGCGACGTGTCGGCTGCGGGCGGGGGCGGAAGTGCAGCTGGGCACTCAGTGCCCGGGAGAACATGGCTCAGGGCTGCAGGACCCCACCTTTTCTTCCCCAAACCCCTCTGGACGTTTGCCGGCGTGCCCGCCCCCCCCCCCCGCCCGGGGGTTGGAGCACCAATTATATGGGCCTTTGCAACAGGTCTGGGGGTTAATATGCCCCCCCCCCCCCCCCCCGCGCGGTGGTTGGAGCACCAATTATATGCGCCTTTGCAACAGGTCTGGGGGTTAATAATTGAAAGAGGAGGAGGGCTGGACAGAAACGGATCTGGGTTCTAATCCCATCTCTGGCACACAGGAGGTGCTCAATTCGTGTCCAAGAGACTTCTAGAGGAGGGTGAGCAGCGTTTGGGGAGACGGGTGTGCGGCGCCCGGATGTTCGGGGCCTTGAAACATGAGAATTGGTACTCAGGGGGAGCAGGGGACTTTGCCAGCCAGGTGCAGCAGACAGCGCAGGTTGACAGCCCTGGGGACCGTCTGGCAGCCGGCTCCTGGCCGGAGGAAGCCGGCACCGGAGTCACACCCGGCTCACCCCTTTTAGTCGTACCCCAGACATCTCTCTGGGACACACCAACCACTTTGACTGCAAAATGGTTCTTGAGCTTCGGGACAGCCAGGAATGCGGCCGCCCAGGAGTGGGAGGGTGCGTTCTGAAAATTCGGGCGTCTTTAAGTTTGCTTGACGAAGTGCGCTTCGATTCTAGGGTAGAGACTGGAAGACCAGAAAGGGAGGGAAAAGTTGAGTGTCTTGGAAAGCTGGAGGCCGGGTGCCAGACTCTGAGCCTGAGTCCCAACAGCTGGTTTCGTTTAGATTTCTGTGTGATTAGCCGACGTCTTCCGGTTCTTTGGCCACAAGTATCTAGCAAGCCTCTTTTACCTTATAAGGGAAATCCTTTGTAGCCGGAGGAAGGCTTTGATTGCAGGAAGGGGCGGAGCTCGGGATGACTAGCCGTTTCTTTCAAAATTTGTGTGCGCTGGTGTCTGCTGAACAACTCGGAGCCCCTGAGTTTTCAGACAGTTGAAAGTTTGCCAAGATTCAGTGCTGCCCCCATCAGGACAATTTTTTCTTCTTTTGAGACAGCTCATGAATCCAGAAACTCAGTATGACTGTGAAAGTTGATTCCTAGGTTAGGCATGGGCCCTGCAGTCCAGTCTACTCCAGAGGCTGAGGCAGGAGGCGCAGTTATGCCCAAGACTCTGAGGCCAGCCTGGACAATATAACTAAACTATAAGAAAAGCCAGGCAGAAGCTGGGCATGGTGGCTCAAGCCTTTAATCCCAGCACTCAGGAGGTAGAGGCAAATGGATCTTTGTGAGATCCAGACCAGCCTGCTCTACATGGTGAGTTCCTCTCCAGCTGTGCCTACAGGAAGACCCTGTCATAAAAGCAAAAAGAAAAACCAGGCTGGAGGTGTAGCTCAGTTGGTAGACTGCTTGCCTGTACACTCAAAATCCCGGGTTCCATCCCAGGACTGCATAAACTGTGCACCCTGTTGACCCAGCACTTGGGAGGTAGAGGCAGGAGGTTCAGAAGTCCAAGGCCAGCCTAGGCTATATAGTGAGTTTGAGGCCAACCTAGGCTACCTGAGACCCTGAATTGGGGGGGGGGCGGGGACTGTGTGGCACATATACTAAAATTGGAACAATAGAGAGGTATGCAAGGATGTTACTCGAATTCATAGTGTTTTTTAATCCCTTGGCTACAAATGGGTATGAGGTTCCTTTTGAGAGGTGACCAAATTTTTCATGAATTAGTGGTCTTGATTGCATAATCTTGTTAATATACTAAAAATTGTGTATGGAGGGCTCCATCAAGCCTGCATCAGTGAATGTGACTGATGTCATTAAAAGGGGCATTTGTGATCCACCAAGATGTCTCAGTGGGTAGAGGCGCTTGTCACCAAGCCTGACCTGAGTTCCATCCATGGAAGGAAAGAGCCAGCTTCTACAAGTTGTACTCTGACCTCCTCCACATGTGCCCCATCTCACACACACATACTAAATAAATGTGCTTTTAAAAAGAGGCACTCACTCCCTCACTAGGCAGAGTGCTGGGTGATGTTTTCATGACAACTCACCACTGGCTTAGTGGCCAGCCACATTGGTGTTCAGGGGTTTCGGAGATCAGAAACACTTATGGGGATCTCTCCTGTCTGTTTTATAGGCAGCCTGACCTCTTTCTGGTGGATTGCTAGTTTTTAGTTTCCGCTATATAAATTGGAGCTGGGGAGGGCACTGTTTTCCACTAATTTTTATGACTGTCCACACTTAGAGAGTACTGATTTGGAAAAAGAAGACTGAGAGGGATAAGATAATGTGGCCTCCCTGTGCCCCACTTCCTTCAGTTGAACTGCATTCCCAGTTCTTTAATGTGCTTGCTGGGGATTCGATCTCTGGTCCTCATGCTTGTGTAGCAAGCACTCTTAGCCACTGAGCCCTCTCCCCAGCTCCCCTATTTTTGATTTTTGACAGAGTATTGCTATGTAATCCAGGCCTGGAACTCTGGGTCCTCCTGTCCCAGTCACCTGAAGCCTGGGTTACAGGCTCATCACCACACCCTGCTAGCTGAGTCTCACTTGACCAACTTTCAATGTTCCTTCTTGAAGGTGGCTGTTCCAGGGTGACTGGCCTCTAGGGATAGAGACACTCAGTGGGCTGTTTCTTACCAGCTCCTTGTCACCAAACAAAGCCCCTGTACCTGCCAGGGCCCTCAGTGTCCCAATCTGTAAGACAGATTAAAATTTTAAAACTAGGGCCAGCGCTTGGCATGGTGGCACACTCCTTTAATCCCAGCACTCAAGAGGCGGAGGCAGACGAATCTCTGAGTTCGAGGCCAGCTGGGGCTACAGGGAGACGCTGTCTGAATAAGACCAAAAAACAAAGAAAAAAACAGGGCCAGCAAGATGGCTCAGGAAAGGCACTTGCCGCCAAGATACACAGCCAGAGTTCAATTCCCAGGACCCAAGTGGCGGAAGGAGAAAACGAGCTCCTCCACATGTGTGTCCCTCTCTGTACACAATTTTTAAAAAATGTAGCAGAGAGCTTCCCCTGCAGTCTTTCCTGTGTGAAGGGTAGGCCGACACAGCCTCCAGTCATAACCCTCAGCCCTATAACAGTTCAGAAAGGTGACACAACCTGCCCAGGTCACATGGCTCTGGGATCCTGACCCCAGTTCCTGCTTTTCTGCATTCTATACTTTCTGTTTGTAAGTGAAAGGGCTTTGGAAAGCCTGTTAACAGGACAGAGGAAGACTGGAGTAAAGCGAGCCTCAGGTAGAGCATTTGCTGGTCATGCCTGAGGCCCTGGGTTCCATTCCTTCCACTACCAAAAAATAAAAAAGGCGACCACAAACACAGCACACACACAAAAAAGCTACTGACACAGCTCAGACACCTCTTGTGCCTTTAGTTCGTTGTCTGCTTTCACATACAATCCACTAGCTCCCTGGTCTCGGTGCCAGGCTTGGTTAGGAGGGTCTTGCGGCGTGAGTGGCTTGGGACTTCCTACTTGGTACATTTGCCTGGCTGCTCCAATACAGGGAAGCAAACTCTGGGGCATGCTGCTCTGGGAATTCCATGGTGAGCCCCAAGAACCTTCTGGAACTTATCCTGCATCTGTTGTGGGTTCCTTGAAAGGCCAGTGCTATCTCCTCAGACCATACAGTATGCTAGTCTCTGGTTTTCAGACAGTGTCTTACTCTATAGCTGACGCTGGTCTCCACCCAGCTGTCCTCCTCCCTCAGCCTTTTGCTGGGATGAAGGGCACGTACTACCAGACCCAGCATTTTTTAGGCAGTCTCATGTGGTGTAGGGTTAAACTAGCTCTGTGGACCAGGCCAGCCTTGAACTAATCCTCCTGCCTCCACTTCCCAAGCACTGGGATTGCAGGTGTGTATCACTGGGCAGCGCTTTCTCTTTTTACTGTTGCAGTTACTGTATTGACACCTGATAAAGGCACATCTCATCTCCTGGTTGACTTGGTTGGCCGTCAGTCACATATGGAATGTCCCTTTCAATTTTCAGAGACTGAAATTGTGTACTCTGAAGCAGAGAGGTGCCATGGTCCAAGCAGGGAGGAGGATCTGAATCCAGGATTTGGATCCCAACCTGGGTATCATGGCAAGACCATGTCTCAAAAATAAACAATTAAGGTTGGACATGGTGGCACACACCTTTGATCCCAGGAGATCAAAGAGGCAGATATCTGTGAGATGGAAGCCAGCCTGGTCTACATAGCAAGTTCCAGACCAGCTGGGGATACAGGGAAACCAAGTCTCAAAAAAAAAAAAAAACCAAAAAATAATAAGCACTTGGGAGGCAGAGGCAGGCGGATCTCTGTGAGTTCGAGGCTAGCCTAGTCTACATAGTGAGTTCCAGGACAGCTGGGGCTACAGGGAGACCCTGTCTCAAAAAGACAAAAAAAAAAAAAAAAAAAAAAAAAAAAAAAAAAAAAACAATTAAATACAGTCCAATTCCAATCCAGACCAGAGCATGAATTCCACATGGCCTGGACTCCTGAGTGGGCTGTGACAGGGAAGCGGGATCAGCTGAGAGACGGTGTGGAGGGCTCGCACTGCTGGTCCCAGAAGTGCCACTTCTTAACCTGATGCCACCTCTAACCTCCCCAGGCTGAAGGAGATGTGGCAGCTCTCAATCGACGTATCCAGCTGGTGGAGGAAGAGTTGGACCGAGCTCAGGAGCGGCTGACCACAGCTCTGCAGAAGCTGGAGGAGGCAGAGAAGGCTGCAGATGAGAGTGAGAGGTGAGGGCAAGAGTGAGAGGTGAGGACATGTCCACCTGTTGCATCACTGTCTGCTTCTGGTGAACACTGCAGTGGAAAGGGAATCAGGAGATCAAGGTCAGCCCACGATACACGGCAAGTTTCAGAGCAGCCTGTCTGAAAAGGTTGGGGCGGGTGGACTGGGAGATGACTCCATGGGTAAGAGTGCTTCACATGCCAGGATAAGGACTTGAACTCAAATCCCAGCACCCACGTGAAAAGCCAGTCTAGCTCCAGGTTCAGTAAGAGACCCTGTCTCCTGGGAATAAGGCAGAGAGGAGTAGAGCTGGATGCCCGATGTCCTCTGGTCTCCACACAGGGGCACACATGTGCACGCATACACAAATTTTAGACGAAAGAAACAACATAATGGTGCCCTCTCAAAGCCCAAGTGAAAGTAAAATAGGGCCATATAGACATGACTGCCCTTCATAAATCACATCCTGTGTAGGTGGGTACATTTTTACTTTCTTTCCTTTGTCCCTGTAGCCCCAGCTGTCCTGGAACTCGCTATGTAGATCAGGCTGGCCTCGCACTCACAGAGATCCACCTGCTCTGCCTCCTGAGTGCTGGGACTACAGGCGTGCGCCACCATACCCTGCCTCCTTTGTTTTTTTTTTTTTTTAAAAAAAAAAAAAACAAGGTCTCAGCCAGACGTGGTGGCACACGCCTTTAATCCCAGCACTCGGGAGGCAGAGGCTGGCGGATCTCTGTGAGTGCGAGGCCAGCCTGGTCTACATAGCGAGTTCCAGGCCAGCTGGGGTTACAGGGAGACCCTGTCTTGAAAAGACCAACAAAAAAAAGCAAAACAAAACAAGGTCTCACTATGTAGCCTGGACTGGCCTGGAACTCACTATATAACCCAGGCTGGCCTTGAACTCACAGAAATCCAAATGCTGGGGTCACAGAGGACCTCTGCAGGCTCCCAGCTCGATTTCCCTTACGGTTGCTATGCAGAGCACCTTCCAGCAGGTGTGGAACTTTGCAGCAGTGTGGGCCACTACTTAACTGGGAAGCCACGGTACTTCTTAGCCCTGTTCTAGAGACAACTGAATTTCTAGATGATGTAGAAAAAAGAGAACTGGACTGGCCATGTGCCTAGATGGTTCCCATCTCCTTGGTGGGCTTTAGGCTCTCTGATGGTGACCTCTGTATTTTGGGGACAGTGCAAAGCAGCCGTCACTGAGTTTATAACTGTCTGGTAGTATCTGCACTGCGTTTGGACGTGCGAAGTGTTCTCATTCCCTCTGTCCCCAGGAGCCACTGATCTCCTGGCAAGGTGTGAGCCGACCCAGCGAGGCTATGTTTCTGTCATTCGGGCACATAGTGTTCCATATGGCTCATGGTTTTTCACTGCAGACCCCACACACACACCATACAGACTGTGCATCTGTAACTGTAAGTCAGATGCTAGAATCCAACAGAGGACTGGGGATGTGGCTCAGTGGTGAGCGCTTGCCGAGCATGTGAAAGGCCCTGGAGTCTTATCTATCCTCTGATCTCCACATGTGTGGTATGGCATGTGTGTACACAGAGACACATGTGAAATAATTTGAAAAAATAAACACTGGGCATGGTGGCCCACTGCTGTTATCCCAGCACTTGGTAGAGGCAGGAGGATCATGCAAGTTCAAGGTCAGCCTAGGCTATAAGAGACCTTGTCTCAAGAACAGAGATACAAATAAAACCCACTAGGGAAGCCTGAGGTTGATGCTCTAGTTTCCCTAATGGGAACCTCTTCCATGCAGTGGGAACTCAGGGTACAGGGACAGGCATCCTGATAGGCTCCATTCCTGGAAAGTGTGAAGGCAGTGTGGCGGCTTGGGGCAACCATAGGGGTGTGTGATGGATACAAAGTAAGATGTTAAAGGCATTGCCCAGGGGCCATGCCCAGACCAGCCTAGTGGGCTATCTACTTCAAGGACCTCCCTGGTGCCAAACTGAGAACAGCCTAGGAAGGCCACTCGTTCATATCCTGTCACTACGTGCCTCCTGCTAGAGACCTTTTTTCGGTAGAAACCTATTCTGGAAGCTGGCAGATCTATACTCATCCTTTGCCACTGGCACTGACCAAGTAGCCTGGGCAGGCAAGTCACCTTTCTCTGCTGGGTGTTGCAAGGGGCCTTCCAGCCATAGACAGCCCAGTTCCCAGGTTTTCTCCAAGGCTGGGGCAAAGGCCTTACAGAGTGGTACAGAGTGTGTGGGTTTGTTGTTTTGAGACATGGTCTCCGTATAGCTCCAGCTGGCCTCAAACTCACTATATAGGCCTCCACTTCACAGATCTGCCTGCCGCTCCCTCCCAAGTACCAGTATCAAAGGTGTGGATCGCCACACCTAGTGTGTTTTTGCCTGTCAGAGGATGATGACAGCCATAGGACAGAGAGAAGTGGTAAGATTGGCATAGATGGCACATCACGCCAGCCTGGCCTAGTCTGTGGAGTTTGATTGCCTGCGTGCATATATGTGTATGCAGCTTAGACATCCCTTATGCAAAATGTCTAAGAATGGACTGAGCCTTAGAGTTCAGGTGTTTTCAGGTTTGGTGATACTTACATACACATAATGAGATATCTTAAAGGTGGGGTCCAAGTCCAAACACAAAGTTCATTCATGTCTTCTGTTGGAGGGAGCTTTGAGACAGGGTCTCCCTTTAACCTCAGGTGACCTGGAACTCACTATGTAGAGCAGGCTGGCTTCAGTCTCAGAGACCTGCCTGCTTCTGCCTCCTGAGTGCTAGGATTAAACGTATGTGCCCAGCCTGTTTGTCTTTTATTTCCCTTCTACACATGGCCTGAAGTTCACGTCACATCTCTAGTGTGCCTTCCTTTTGGAGGGCCTGTCACATCAGGCTAGCGGTGGGATTTTCCACTTGTGGTACCATGACTGTGCTTGATGGCTAGCCTTAGAGTTCACAGAGCATTGGGGAGGTGCAGGCAGGAGAATCAGGACCTTAGGAGCTCAAAGCCATTCTTGGCTACACAGCAAGCTGGAGACCAGCCCGGGCTACAATGAGACCCTGTTCCAGTGCCATACCCCCAAGCCTAGTTTATTCTGGAGCAGCTATGTTTCTGGATTAGGGGGTGGTACCACAGCTTGTCCATTGTTTTGTTTCCATTCATTCCTGCTTTTGGAAGCTTCTGGTAATTCCACTTTCTGTCAGCATAACCTCTTTAGCACAGCACTCGGCCCGTGCATGGACTTTCATTTCCCCCAGCTCTGACTTGTTGGGACAGGGCCCTGCTGTGGATCCAGAGCTGTGCTGGAAGTCAGAGTCCTCCTGCCTCAGCTTCCCAAGTACAGGGGTGACACACTACCAACTTGCCCTGCTCCTCCAGCTCCCTCTTGTCCCTGAATAAGCCCAGCATTGATGACCCAGTCTAGAAAACTGTTAGTGGCGTACCCCTAGGCTCCACTGCAGCAGAACCTGCCTGCTCCTGGGCATCCTGCAGTGGGGCCCTGTGCCCGCTCCGCAGTGAGGCCGCTGCTCAGCCTGCCTTGTTAGTTACTGAAAGGATCACCAAGCAAAATGCAGCCTTGAACCAGACCAGCTCTGCCACTCTGTAACCTCGAACCTCTCTCTGCCTCAGATTCTTCAGCTGTAAAATGGGGGTAATTAGACCCACATCATGGGACAGTTTGAAAGCTGAGGTATTTGAAAGTGTCTCAGTTTGTCAGATATGATGATGCATGCCTGTCATTCCAGCACTTGGGAAGCTGAGGCAGAAGGATCCCAGGTTCAAGGACAGCCTGGGCTACGTATATGTAGCAAGTCTGAGGCCATCCAGCAAGGCCCTGTCTCATAAGACCTAAAAAGGAAAAAAAAAATGGGGCTGTGGTTGAAGCTCACTCTGCAGAGCACCCGTCTAGTGTGCCTGAAGCCCTGGGCTCCATCCCCAGGACCACATAAACTGGGCATGGTGGCACATACTTGTCATCCCAGCAATCAAGAGGTGGAGACCGGAGGATCAGGATCATTCTAAGTCATCCTTCACTAATAGCAGCCCTGTCTCAAAAAAACATGGCTGGGGAGAGGGCTCAGTGGGGTAAAGCGCTTGCTGCGCAAGCATGAGGACCTGAGTTCAGATCCCAGCACCCACATAAAAGCTGGACGTGGGGACATGCGTCTGTAATCCCACTTTCTGTGATAGGGTGCCGGGTAGATTCAGAGATGGTAGATTCAGAGATGAACAGCTCTGGTGGAGGTGCTCAGGTACCTGGTTCATACCTAGCTTGTCCCTTGCAGAGGCATGAAGGTAATTGAGAACCGGGCCATGAAAGATGAGGAGAAGATGGAGATCCAGGAGATGCAGCTCAAAGAGGCCAAACACATTGCTGAGGAGGCCGACCGCAAGTACGAGGAGGTGAGTGGGGCCGGCTGGGCAGCCATGGAAAGCAGGAGGAAGTGGTGTTGCGGACAGGAAGGACCCGGAGGAAGCCTATACTAGTCAGCCTCCCTCTGTGTAAACATCTGTTTCCAGAGACTGCCACTTGGCTGGAAAACTATTTTGCATGATGCCAAAAAAGTCCTGTGGCTGCTTGTCAGACTTCCTGGGTACCAATTCATCAGCTTACTCAGCCCCTCTTGTCCTTTAAGCTTAATGTGAGGCCGGTGGCAAAATCTGAGGACTGCGAGGGCCCCGCCTGGCTTTTGGGTCCCCCCCAACTTTTTATGTGAGGCCGGTGGCAAAATCTGAGGACTGCGAGTGCCCAGCCTGGCTTTTGGGTTCCACCCCCTTTTTTTTTTCCGTTTTGGAGACAGGATCTCACATTGTAGTTCAGGCTGGCCTGAAATTCACTGTTGCCCAGGCTAGCCTTGAATTCTCACCAGTCTTTCTGCCTCAGCTTCCCAAGTGCTGGGATTACAGGCGTGAACCACTGGGACAGCCTGCTTTTTTGTATACACATATATAAAGGGGATTTATTAAATTGGCTTACATGACACAGTCTGGGTAATTCAACGGTTTTTTTTTTTTTTTTTTTTTTTTTTTTTGAAATTTTTGAGAAAGGATTCATGTAGCCCAGGCTGTTTATGTAGCCAAAGATGGTCTTGAATCCTGATCCCCCTACTTCTACTTCCCAAATACTAGGTTGACAGGCATGTACCACCACACCTGCCTGGTTTGATTTGGTAGTCTTGAGACAAATTTTCATCATGTAGCACAGGATGGCTTAGAATTTACATCCTCCTGCCTCAGACTCCCAAACGTGAGGCTAGGCCAGGCCACACCAGGCCCTCGTCCTTCTGCCTCCATCAGTCTGTCCCTCCCCGTCCTTGCCTGCCTCACTCCATGGGGCCTGAAGATTTCCATTCCCTGTGGACCTAGGGCTGTTTGCAGGGGTACATTTGGGTGGTAGGGCTGAGTCTCCGTGGAGTGCCTCTGTCTTTTCAGGTAGCTCGTAAGTTGGTCATCCTGGAAGGTGAACTGGAGAGAGCTGAGGAGCGTGCCGAGGTGTCCGAACTGTAAGTGGCAGAACAGGACAGGGCAGGGCCAGCTCAGCTGGCTCATAGGGTGGTGGAGGAGGGAACACAGCGGGCCAGTTCAGCAGCTTTGCAGGGCGGAGTTGGGAGAGCTGGCTGTGGTCGGAACTGACTCCTTTTTGACGTCTAACAAAGAGTGGCCGCCGTTGGTTCTTACTGCCCAGGGAAGCTTTGCCTGCGTTTTCCCACCCAGACGCTGGGAAATGGGTCTGAGACCCAGGAGAGCACGGAGGCCCAGAAGTCTCCTTTTCCCAGACAGAGCTGATGTGCTTTCTTACTTTCTCCGGTTTAGTTTTGTTTTCTGTTTGGGGTTTTTTATTTTTGTTTTGTTTTGTTAGTTTTTTAAGGTAGGGTCTCATAGCCAGGTGTAGTGGTGCACACCGTTAGTCCCAGTACTTGGGAGGCAGAGGCAGACAGATCTCTCTGAGTTCAAGGCCAGCCTGGTCTATATAGCGAGGTTCAAGCCAGTTGGAGCTATAAGAAGACCCTGTCTCAGGGCTGGAGAGATGGCTCAGGGGTTAAGAACACTGACTGTTCTTGCAGAAGACCGGGGTTCGAATCCCAGCACACACATGACAGCTAACAACTGTCCGTAACTCCAGTTCCAGGGGATCCGACAGCCTCTTCTGATCTCCACGGCGGCATTGCACGACACAGGTGCACTTATCTACATGCAGGCAATACACACATACACATAAAATAAAAATAAACAAGGTATTTTTAAGAAGACCCTGTCTCAAAAAAAAAAAAAAAAAAAAAAAGACAGATAGAGAGAGATAGGGTCTTATGTGTAGCCCAGGAACTCCTGATCCTCCTCCTGGGTGGGATCACAGGCACACACACTGCGTGCTCTTCACAGAACCACGGCTGTGGGAGGCAGGCTTTGTTTCTGATGTTGGTGTTGGGCCCAGATACATTACCCTGGGGACTGCTGAGCCAGAATCCCACAGACCCACCCCCACACACAATGCTGCTCTGGTTTTGGCCTTGGACAGGTATTCAGCTCTGCAGAGCGCCCTGCTGGGCTAGGAGCCTTGGAGCCTTGCTCACAGATACTTTCCAGGCTCCCTGCTTGGAGTATGCAAGCTCTACAAGCCATCCCCCACCCCCTTCACCCTCCATCTCATTTGCACACCTTCCAGAAGGCCTTGCCAGTCACAGGTCTCTTTTGCCTCACCCCTGGCAGATGCCCAATCCTCCTGTGCCTGGCAGGATAGGATTCTGACAGGCTCCCAGCATTACACCTTAGAAAAAGCCACACTTTCTTCCCACATTCCTTTGGGGCAGTGTAAGTTTCTCCCTTTGAAAATGTGTAAGGGAGCTGGCTGCTGTAAGGGAAGAAAACAGAGATCTTTTGTCTTGGTGCAGAAAGTGCGGTGACCTGGAAGAGGAACTCAAGAATGTCACTAACAACCTGAAGTCACTGGAGGCTGCATCTGAAAAGGTGGGTGCTTGGGTTGACTTAGACGAGAACTTAAAGACTTTGTTCTTTGATTCATCCCAGGTGTCGATGTATACTGGTGTCAGGAACCAAAACTCCGTTTGTTTTGCAGCCTCGGTGCCCAGCGGTTGGGAATTGCCTCAGATTTCTCATGCAGGCTATCAGGTCTTCTGCCATGGGGCCTTAGCGCCATACATCGTGTGTATGTGTGCATGTATGTATGTGCCATGGCGTGCAGGTGGAAGTCAGGGGACAACTTTCGAGAGTCAGTTCTCCTCTTCCACTGTGTGGGTTCCAGGGATCGAACTCGGGTTGTCAGTCTTGGTGGCAAGCTCCTTTACCCTCTGAGCCATCCTGCCGACACCAACTCCATCTTTTACATCCACCTCAGGGAGGACAGAGGTAGACTATGAGATGGGTGTCTCTGCTTAGGGAGATGTGAGTGGGACCATATAAATACAGAGCCTCACTCCCACGTGTGCCCCTGGTTCCTCCAGAAATACCTTCAAAAAGGTGGAACTGGCCTTTTAGAATTCACTGCAGTCACGACAGGATAGGTCCACACAAAGGGCAATGACCATTGTCTGCTGGGGCCAACCGGCTCAACTCCACAGCCTCATCGCTTCCTCAGCCCCTCTTCAGTGACCCTTCGAAGTGCCCTGAACTTGGGTTTCACACACTGTCCTACTAACTCGTTAAACCTGAGTGCCCAGCCTGGTGTGACTTGCTTGAAAAGCCCCTATTTATCTGTCCTAGTTTCACGTCTACTGCTGTGATAAAATACCCTGACAAAAAGCAACTTAAAGTTAGAAAGGGTTTATTTCAGCTTATAGCTCCATCAATGCTGCTAGTCACTTCACATCCACAGTCGAGAGCAGAAAAACACAAATGCACACGTGCTCGCTCGCTTGTGCTCAGCTCCAGTTCTCCACTCTTAGCTCAGATCCTCTGCTTAGGGAAGGTGCTGCCCATGGTGGGCTGGGTCTTCCCACATCATTTAACTGGACATTCCCACACAGGTGTGCCCACAGGCCACTGTCCCACCGAGACTCTTCCCAGGGGATTCTGGGTTGTGGAGAGTTGGCAGTTAAAGCCAACCATCACAGCATCCTTTAGGCCTTCTTCGGAGAGGCCTTCCCTGAGTTTCGTCCAAGTTAAGGTGTCTCTTTCCATCAATTTCCTGTCATTACGTTGATTCACTGTGCATGCTAGACAGGCCCACCTACTGCTGAGCTGCATCCCAGGCCCATCATATTATGACCCAATTCATTGTACACCTCCCTTGTTAGACTGTGAGTTTCAGGTTTTTGTTTGTGTTGGTTTCTAGGTGGGTCTTGCTCTGTAGCCTAGATAGACCAGGCACCCTCCATCTCCTGTGCCACTCAGCCTCCCAAGTGCTGGAATGACTGCTGTGTGTTTACGTACTTATAAAACAAGGACGTACCGTCTTTTTTCCTTCCTTTTATAGTTTTTAAATGGATTTTTTTTTGCATGTGGCATGTATTTGCACGTGTGCAGAAGTGTATAGAGGCCAGGGGTTGGCATCCGCTGTCTTCCTCAGTTCTCCACCTTCTTCACTGAGACAGGGTCTCATTTGAACCCAGAGTTTGCAGAACTGGTTACGGTGGCCAGCTTACAGTGGCCAGCTTGCTCTGGGGATCTCAGCCCTCCCACATGTGGGCAAGCACTGGTTGGACTTGCTGAGTCATCTCCCCAGCCCCTTCCTCCTTTTTTTTTGAGACAGGGTCTCCCTATAGCCCCAGCTGGCCTAAAACTATGTAGACCAGGCTGGCCTCAAATTCAGAGAGATCCACCTGCCTCTGCCTCCCAAGTACTGAGATTAAAGGCAGTGCCACCATTCCCAGGTCCCCTTCCTCCTTTCTTAAAAGCTGTGTTCAGAGCTGGAGAGGTGGCTCAGTGGTTAAGTGTGCTTGCTTCCTGTTCTTCTAGAAGACCCAAGATCAGTTTCCTGCACCTATATCAGGCAGTTCACAACCACATGTAACTCCAGCTCCAGAAAGAGCGACTCCTCTGACCTCTATGAGACTCTCTACTCACATGCACAGACATACACATATACATAATTAAGAAATTAAAATAGGGACTGGAGAGATGGCTCAGTCGTAAGAGCACTGGCTGCTCTTTCAGAGGACCTGGGTTCTATTCCCAGGACTCATATTGTGGCTAACAACCTCCTAACTCCAGTTCCAGGGGCTGCAACGCCCTCTTCTGACCTTTTCAGGCATTGCATGACATGGGTGCACTTAATCTCCATGCAAGCAATACATTCATACACATAAAATAAAAATAATTTTAAAATTTTTTAAGAATTACATTTTTTAAAAGACTTAAAAAAAAGAAAAAAACAGTTATGATGGGACATTGAGATGGCTCAGCAGGTAAGGGTGCTTGCCACCAAGCCTTAGGACCTGTGTTCAATCCCTGTGACTCACAGGGTAGAAAGAGAGAACTGACTTATGTGGATTGGTCTCTGGTCTCCACATGTGTACCCTGGCATGTGCGCCCACACACATACACTCACACATACAAATAAGTGTGAAATCTTTATTCTGGTTTCTCCCACAGTATTCTGAAAAGGAGGACAAATATGAAGAAGAAATTAAGCTTCTGTCTGACAAGTTGAAGGAGGTGAGTGTGCTCACAACAGCCAGGCTGAGCTCCTGGGACTGCTCTGTAGATACATAGTGACTCTCTTCTTCCCCAGGCTGAGACCAGAGCCGAGTTTGCAGAGAGGACTGTTTCCAAACTGGAAAAGACCATCGATGACCTGGAAGGTACGAATCTCCATCTCTGTGTGTTGGTTAGGGCTCTCTAAATGTCTATAAAAAGTTGAGGGCGGTCTTGGGAGGACAGAGCTGGGCTTTGTTTGTCTTGGGAAAGGGCAGAGTAAGGAGGTCCTTTCACAGAGATGCCTTGCATTTTTCAAAAATGCCTCAAATTCTTACAGACCTCTCCCAGAGATCGGAAGCTTATCACAGTCTGAGGAAAGGGAAACACAGGAACTGCAGAGGCCTGAGGAGCCTGTGTCAGGCCAAGCCTAGCTGAGGCTACATATAACTCAGCGTCTCTTGAAGTTTCCTGTGTTATTCATGATAGAGCATGAAAATTCCAGAAACATGGTTAAGATGAGATTCCCCCAGGCTGCCTATCTCACCCAGGAAGGGGATAAAACTCAGTCTTCACATCCCATATCCCAGGGTCTGGCCATATGAGGGAGACACCCTGTACCAAAGGCTGACATGAACAGGTGACAGCAGAAGTCACCTGGGACGCAGTGGTGGGTGGGACGAAGCTCTGTCCCTTCCTAGTCACCATTCTTTTGAGACAGTCTCATTGTGTAGCCTTGGTTGGCATGTTACTCACTGTGTGGACCAGTTAGATGCCCCTGCCACTGCCTCCTGAGTGCTGGGATTAAAGGTGTGCACTGCCTCACCCAACCCATCCACCATCCTTTTGTTGTTGTTTGACTTTTTTTTTTAATCTTTTTTTTTTTAATTTTTAATAACTACATCATTAGAAGAAGCATTTCACTACAGCTTTAACATATTCAGTAACACACTCCAGAGCAAGAGTACATCTCTTTCACAAGTGGGTGCAAGTTTCTAGGTTCACAGTTGAATTAATACAGTTATACAATATTGAACTCAGTATAAGCCCTGTAAAACATAAAATTGAATGAGATTTTAACCTTTAAAAAAGATCTCCATTTCATTTTAGAATATATTGTTCCTTGCAGAAAGGCTCATTGTTTTTGCTAGTAACACTGAGATGTTGGCACATACATCTCTAATCTGTATGTATCTGATTGTTACTAGTCATAATCGGTTGCACTCGGATCCTTGGCACCTGTATTAGCGTATAGAGCCATCGGGTATATTTCAATGGTAATGATTATAACCTTTACTAATTAATGTGACATGAATTTCCATGCTTCCTCCTCAAATATACTTTTTAAAATTTGTTGATTTGTGTGTGTGTGTGTGTGTGTGTATATCACACAGAACATCCCAAACCATCTTATTCAACTATACACCACTTCCCAGATAGCACCCTCCCATAACCTCCCTCCCCCCTCTAGAGCCCTTATACTCTGATATCCCTGTTACTATCTGCTGTGTTGTTGGCACCCCCAGCCATTCCCTACTACTTGCCTTTTAGGAGGGTCAGCTGTTCCTCATCTAGCAGCAATCAGTTGTCAGTATTCCTTTAGCTAAGGTCTGCTGTTCATTTTCCCAGTTCTATGCTGGGTTACTACCTGGGAGTCCATTTGGCCACCCTGGCCAACAACTCAAAAGAAGGGATCACCTATCTGGCATTGTTGCTTGTTATGTAGCCTTTAGCTATGCATATGGACTCTTAAGAAATTATATTGGCCCCTTTAATCTTTGGTTATACTTTCCTTTTGGGTGTTTAAGGCCATACAGTTGGCCCAGATAAACCAATTTATTTTTACTCTTAAGGTCATTTGAGGATCTATTCCTCAGGGGTCATCTGGGCTTGGGAGGAGCCCCTGGCTCCTTTCTTTTACCAGTTCCACCTATGTGAAGATAAGTCAAAGGTCCTGCTCGACCATGGTTGGCTTCGCTTGGAAGCATGGAGGAAATGATTCATCTGTGTTGATCCTCCTCTTTGTAGACTGGACACTGGTTCAAGTCCATCTGGTGGGGTCTCCTCGGCCTCCTTGATCAAGAGGACAGGTCTTGAGGTCTTGTGGACACTGCCTTGCCCAGCCCATCCACCATCCTTTTAAAGACTCATGACTACTTCCCTGCTAACCTCAGCCCACACAGCAATCACTCCCTAGATCTCTGACATGGAGTATAGCTTTCTCCTGATTCACAGTCTGTTTTCTCCTTTTTCTCCTCCCCATTTATCCATGGTGCTCTGTCTCTTCTACCTCGCCTCAAATCTCTTCCTGGGGACCTCCGCCCTATAGCTCTATGCCCAGAAGCTCAAGTAAAGAACTATCAGGGCTGGACTATGCCCTCAACACCATGACCTTTCTCTGAGGGACAGCTGGGTGCCACCCTGGGTCCCAGCAAGCCTTCTCCCCACCTGTCTGACTGAAACAAAGACAGACCATCTTCATCTTATGCCATCTTCTTCTGTCCTCGCTATCTTTGAGCTGTAGCCAAAATGCCTTTGCCCAATAAGTACAAGAGGTGGGCACTTAGCACTCTCCTTACTAAAAGAAAGATGAAGCCCATGTCATCCTTTCCTGAAGACAAGAAAACAAAAGCCAATGTGTCATGAGCCCTCAAATGTGACATTAGCTGACTACAGCTGTATGCCAGTCGCTGTTCCTTAAACAGAAATTGTTTAAATGGGGAGTCAGCCCTCCATACTTCTTAGGTGGCCTAACAGTCAGCAGATCAAACAAGGCCACCCTCAAACAGGGTTCAGGTTACTAATCTCTGAAATTTGGACTTTGTTTGTATTGAGGCAGGGTCTCACATAGCCCAGGCTGACCTCTAACTCTGTGTAGCCCAAGATGACCATGAACTCTTGATCCTCCTGGAATGGAACCCCAGGCTTCATGTAGGAGGTGTGAGCTCTCTGTCCCCTGAGCTACATCCCCAGCCCAACACTGACATTTTGATGTCAAAACCGTATCTCCCAGACCACTACTACCTGTGAGCGTAGAAAGTGCATGAGATAGCCATTACATCATCAACTTGTGACCATTCCTTCCAAATACATCTATTCTGGGCTGAGGACATGGCTCAGCCAGTAAAGTGCTTGCTTTGCAAGCATGAGGACCTCAGTTCATCAGAAGCTGTGTAAAAAAAAAAAAAAAACAGGCTGTGGTGGTGTGGACTTACAATCCTAGGGGCCAGCCTGTCTAGCCTACTCAGGAGTTTCTGGCCAATGACCCTATCTCAAAAACAAAAGGTAGGAGCTGTAGCCGGTGAGAGTGCTGTGCTTACTGCTCTTGCAGAGGACCTGAGTTCAGTTCCCAGCACCCAACTCCAGCTCCAGGATATCTGACAGCCTCTCTGGCCTCTATGTGCATCTGCCCACATGGAGCATACATACACACATAAGTACAAATATTTTTAAAATACAAAAACCAAGGTAAATGATCTCTGGGGAACCACCACCAGGCCTGTCCTCAGAACCCCCACACAGATTCATCTTTCCTGAGCTACCCATACTTCTCCATCGCTATCTCCATTCTAGTCTGACATTCACCCTCAACCATTTCATAAACCCTGCCCCACACTCGTTGCCTTACATAGGCTCTGGAAAGATTACAGACTTTGTGAGAGGGTGGGGTGCTTTGTTTGTTCTGGATTTTTCCAAACACAAGTAGCCTCCACCCTTTGAAATAACTGTCCAGTCCATCTGTCAGTCAGTCCTAAGGGAACTCCGGAACTCCCGCAGACCATTGGCGTGAAGCTTGAGTCCTGCCCGCTATGCCTGAGTTTTGTCCTGGGTCTCAAGGATAGGGGATGCTTTACAGGGAGGCTGTTCCATCTCAGACCTAGAGGCAGAACAGGTACATGAAGGCAGGGCTGATGATAGGAAACCTGGGATGTGCCCCCTTCACCACTGGAGCTGTGGACTGTGCCAACTGTTTATCTTCCCTGAGAAATAGACGTGCAGGCATGGAGCAGCTGGCTCAACAAGCATCCAGCTGGCATTGGTTCACACAACCTGGATGGACCGAGGTGCTGGCAGAGCCCTTCCGGGTCACAGTGGCTTAGCTTGTCACACTGAAGTTTCAGTGGTTATAGAAAGGCTGCCGTGGTCTGCTGTCATAAGGGCTTTTTTCTTTCTGAAAATTTCCAGGCTGGTCCTATCACAGTTTATGGGGCATTTCACAGGCTTCCAGTATTTTAATGACTCAGCCTGGTCCTCTATCAGCCATCCCTCACACAAACCAATTTTCTCTCATGCTTTACTATGCAGAGCTTGCAATAGCTTCTTTTTAGTATTTTATGTTTTAAGTATGTGTTTGTGCTGTGTGTCTGTGTTGGGTTTGTACTGAGAAGGCCAGGAGAATGTCCGATCCCCCAGAACTGGAGTTACAGGCAGTAGTGAACTGTCATGGGTGCTGGAAACTGAACCCAGGTCCTCTGTAAGAGCAGAGTAGTATGTTCTTAACTGCTGAGCCAGCTCTCCAGACAATGGGTATTTTATTATTTTATTTTATTTTATTTCTGTGTATAAGTGTATTGCCTGCATGTGTGTAAGTGTACCTGTGTCTTGCAGTGCCCACAGAGGTCAGAAGAGGGCGTCGGTTCCCCTGGAACTGTAGTTACAGATGGATCTTAGCCACCATGTGGGTGTGGGGAATCAAACCTAGGTCCTCTGTAAGAGCAACCAGTACTCTTAACCACTGAGCCATCTCTCCAGCCCACGGGGTTTTTTTGTTTTGTTTTGTTTTTTAATCATTACATTTACTTATTTATTGGGTGGGGTGCACAAGTACCACAACACAGATGTGGAGATCAGAGGACAACCTGCAGGAGTCAGGTTTCTCCTTCCACCATGTGGGGTCCAGGAATCAAACTCAGCTCATCAGGCCTGGTAGCAAGTGTCTTTACCTGCTGAGGCATCTTGCCAGCCTGGCTTTTTGTGTGTGTTAGCCTTGAATTCACTGTATCCCAGCATGGCCTTAAGACTCCTGATCCTCCTGCCTCTGCCTCCCAAGTGCATGGACTAAAACCACATGCCACCACACCCAGCCTAGTATCCTGTTTTGTTGTTGTTGTTGTTTAGATTTACTTTATGTTTATGCATACATATGTGGGGGCCAGCAGAGGCCAGACTCAAGGATCAGATCCTCTGGAACTAGAGTTATGGAGAGTTGTGAACTATGCATTGTGGGTGCTGGAAATCCAATTCTGGTCCTCTGGAAGGGCAGCAAATGCTCTTAACCTCCAATCCTTAGTATCCTGATTGACTCAAATGTGGTTCTTGGCCCCTATTATTCCATGGCATTCTGTGATTAAATCAAAGCACTCACTTTTTGGGGGGCTGGAGAGATGGCTCAGCAGTTAAGAGCACTGACTGATTCCCAGCACCCACATAGCTGCTACTAACCATTCTTAACTACAGTTCCAGGGGAATCTGAAGCCTCTTCTGACCTTCGTGGCATTGGCACGACACGGGTGCACTCACATACATGTAGGCAATACACTCATACACATAAAAATTATAAAAAAAATTTTTAAAGCACTTTCTTAGCTACGACTTTAACTATGGTAGTTTAAGGCTTACAATTCCCCACTACCACCTTTTTTTTCCTCCTTTAACAAAGATGTTTATTAATTCATTTCTCCTTCCCTTCTTAATCCTTACCAGAAAAACTTGCCCAGGCCAAAGAAGAGAATGTGGGCTTACATCAGACACTGGATCAGACACTAAACGAACTTAACTGTATATAACCAACCAGAAGCAGCAAGGTCTTGATCTGACACCAACTCCAGAGTGCTGTGTCTCCCTTTCTTCTTGTAAGAAGTTCCTTTTATGATTGCATCTCCGCTTTGCTGGAAATGTTAAGCAGATAATGAATTCGTGACCAAATATTTTGTACCAGGCAAGCTTTGAGCACCAGTTAAACTGAATTCTTTCCTTTTCCTCTCAAATGGCACTGGCTTCTTCAGCTCTATTTTTATTAAGTTGCATTTATTCCTCAAATAAGCAGGGTATTTCTTGCTGAGTGTAATGTCTTAAGGCTGAGGGCACTTGGTTCCCAGGAAGTAGTCAGCCCCACACTTTCAAGCACAGGCTCTGGTATCTTAATAGTCATAGGTTGACTTCAGCATCAAAGACTATTTAACTTATCTGGTTGCTGTTGGCAAAGTTACAGGAGGCTGGGGACCATCACAAGAAAACAGGTGGGGATTTTCCATCCAGAACAAAAAGAGAAAGCAGACTATGGTAGGAAGTCTCAAGCCACAGCCAGATTGGCCTGGTCATGCAGGGCCTGCTCCACACCACTGTGCAGAGCAGACTTCCATCATCTGGCGAGGACAGTGGGTGATAATGGCCCAGGTGTCTTCTGAATAGATCCTTGATGCTCTGCTGCACACATTTCCCTTTTGTTCCAAAGCTGTCCTCCTGAGCGAGCAAGTGTCTTATCCCAGGACATGTCTGCTGTGGTCTCAGGTCATCTACTCAGCAGGGAATATGGTAGGGTTTGATTCTATTCAGACCAATCATGTCAAAAAGACTGCTAGCAAGGCTGGGCTTGGTATCTCACACCTTTAATCCCAGCACTCAGAGTAGAGGCAGCTAGCCTGGGCTACATAGCAAGACCCTGTCTTCCCCTTTCCCCCACAGAAAGGCTGCTAGCAAGGCAGTGTCTTCGTATTAACAAATGTTGAGCATCGAAGGTTTCAGGCAGCAAAGCAGTAATAAAAAGAAAAATTGGCTCAACTTCATCTCCACTGTTCAGGGAACAGCAGATGGAAAATACTTAGCCAGGATTTTAATTCCTTCTGGAATTCTGTGATTAAAAAAACCAAGAAACTCCTGATTGAACTGGATACGGAGTATTCTGAAGGTGGAGGCTGCACATTTTATTGGCTTTGTTGTATAATTGCTTTCTCCGTTAACATCTCAGAGCTGAAACATTCCACATCCCCCAGTGTTGTGGGGCCAACTTGAGTTTACAATCCTGACGGAAAATCACCCTGCTTCTCACTTATCCGAACCCCTTGCCCCTCACTCCTATTTATTAAGCATCACACTACCCAGGAGATAAACTAGCAAATTGTGCAGTTGAATAGAGCCCACACTTTTCTTCAGATTCTTGCATCTGTATCGTATCTGATAGTATCATTTTTTTCTACATTTTGGTCAAATAAATTTTTACATAAATGACAATGTGTGGATTTTCTTTATTCTTTAGAGGTTTTTTATGTGTATGAGTGTTTTCCCTGCATGTATGTGTATGTACCATGTGTGTGCCTGTTGCCCAAAGAACCCAGAAGAGGGCGGCATCATCTCTCCTGGAGCTGAAGTCAGAGGTGGTTGTGAGCCACCCTGGGGTGCTGGGAACTGAACCTGGGTCCTCTGCAAGGGCAGCCAGTGCTCTTACTGCCGTCTCTCCATCCCCAGATTTTCCTTTTAATTAAGTCAAACAATTTTTTGACAATTCATATGGGTATATGATGCACTCTGGTTATTCTCTGCCCCTCACCCTTTTTAAAATTCCCTCCCATGCCTATCAATCCACTCGCACCATCACTACCTGTCACTTCCCCAGATTGATAGCTTCTGGGTTGTTTTGAAATCCCACTTAGTTTAGTCAGGGCCTTCTGCGTGACCATGATTTGGAACTGTCCACTGGAGCCTGATGGGCCGCTAGTGGATACACAGCTGAAGGCAATGACTTCCCAGCTCCCCGAATCTATCAGTAGTGATTAGAGCACTAGTGAGCAGTGGGGCCCTCTGAGCCCTCCTCTCTCCATATCTGTTGATTGTCCTATTCTTGCACAGCCCTGGTAGTCCTTGAAAGCTACAATTAACTTTTCTCCACTGTTTGGCCAACACAGCAGGCTTCCCCTTTGACCTCTAAAGAGGACAGGTTTTAACAGTCCTGTTCTCCCACTCCCCCTCCCTCCGACTTTAAAAAAAAAAAATACATCTTCCCGCCTTCTGCAGGAAGCAGAAGCCGCCCTTTTAAAAAGACCCCAGCTCAAGACCCGGGCAGACATTTTCCCTGCCCGAAAGGGAATCTGTTCCATGTGTTCCTTTGCTAATAAACCCTATTTTGATGGAGTTTTAGCTGTGCCTCTGTGCCTCATCATCCATTCGCTCGTTCTCCGCCAACTTTTTACCTATCAGATGGTGCCAAAACCCGGCTCTTACTTCAAGGGACCCAGACCCGCCTGGACTTCTCCAATGCTATTAACTGGGCTCTCAGGTATACTTCTTTTCTCTCTCCTCCTCTCCCCAGCCCTCTGCTTTGCTCTCACCTCTTTCTGGCTCTCCTCACTGGGAACACTCTCCCTTGCCTACTTCTTTTGATCTCCTTTCCCATTGATTTTCACCACGCCCAGACAGCACTGTGGTCTCCATGATGGACCTGCTTCATCCGTTCCCTATCTCGGTTCCCCCACTGGCCGCTCACCACCGGCATCTCGCCCCCCCCCCTTTGCCATGGGCCTGCAAGGTCTGCTGTCTTCCATCCTTTTTCCTGTCTTTATCCTCTTCCACTGCCTTTCCTCTTCATGTTCGAATGACATCTTTATCTGGTAATTTTAAAGGAATTATTCAGATTTTAACATCTTTTATATGGTATTTGCTAATTTATAAAAATGACTATTTTAAATTCCTACTGTTTTACATAGTATATTTGTTAGTTTCTAAAGGGAACTTAAAGTTTTTCTAGCCATTTGCCTTCAAGGTGCAAAGGGATCTGACACTTTGTGATGACTAGACCTGTGAAGCACATGGAAATTTGCTGTACTCCAGAGCCAAAACCTTACAAGAGACAAGCTACTATCAACACATAGTTACAGCAATGAGAGGTAAAAAGTAATAGTCTACTTGAGTGAGAGGCTTGAGATGCAGCCTCTACTGGTCTTAACTCCTCCCCTTTCTACATTGTGATTCTAAGCCTATTTTTCTCTGGAATAGTTATTTCCCTCTCTGATACTCAGATGCTCTATGTTTGCTTATGTTCCTGCCCCATCATTCCCTGAGTGCTTTCTAGTTATAATGTCAGGGTAATATTAATTATATTGGTAAATTGTCACATGCTGTTTGAGCTCACTGAGACGCTAACTCTGAAGATGCCTTCCCTCTTCCCTCTTCAGACTTATGCCTATTATCTCAAAATGTGTTCTCCAAGACTTTTCCAGGTTCAAGCTGGCCCCTTGAGCCTGTGACAAGGAGGAGAACAATGAAACAGCCTAAGAGTAAAGACACTATGCAGTTGAGAACTGCCAAGGTGTAAATTAATTTCAACAGAGGGTATTACTGACTATAATAAAACTAGCTAATGGAATTATTTTCAGTACTATTTACATTTTATTAATTCTTAACCTAACCTAATCTGTTAATGTTTCCTTTTATCCTATCTCCTCTGATTTATGTTCTTAGATTGACAAGGTTTTATTAACTTCCTTCAGTTATTTAACTCTTAAAAAAGAAAAAGAGGCTACCTCAAATCTATATCGAAACTTAACTCTTTCTTTAGGCCCCTAATTACCTATACAAAATGACATCTAAACTGGTTGGGTAAGATTCTATTTGTTGAATACCATTTTTTTCTTTTAGTTTACTTTCATGGTGTTTTAAGATGTATTCATGTTGTTTGTCTACTTCAAAGGTGTTTTAGTTTAAAAATGATAAATCAACCACATTCTTATCAAAGACTATGTAACTAAATATGTATATACAGTCAACATCAATTTTGCTTCTTAAAATTAATTTACTTGGTATCATACTAATTTTTAAGTAAAATCTGATACAAACTAAAAATGCTAAATTAACACCAAATACTTTTTTCAGCCAAAATATTCTCTCTCTTTACTAAAATATATAAATTAATTTTAACTACCTCTCTCCCTATCTCTCTCTCCTTCTCTCTCTCTCCCTCCCTCTCTCTCACCACTACCCTTCTGGGGCTCTACCAAACCTCTACTAAACCACCACCCTTCTGGGGCTCCTCTACCCTCAGCTTCTACTAAATAAACCTCAGGATCAACTTGTTCCACAAGCTCCCCTCCCTTCTGGTTCACTGCGTTTTTTCCGCTTGTCTCCCATCCGATTCCTTGTACTTAGTCTCCATCTACTGGCTGGTTGTGCCACGCTCTCATTGCAGGGTTTTCCGCTCTTTTTGCTTGCCTCAAAATCACACATGTGTCGGAAACCCCCTTCCATCCTCTGGACACTTGGAAATAACTTGAAAATAATAACTAGAACCCAAGCAACAACAAAAAAAAGGACACTTTGTTTTGATGCCTGGTTCTCCTTGCTCTCGTTTTGTGTGACCAATGCCAAACCCCTTTCCTCCTATTCCCACCTCTCCCTGATGATCTAATTGTGGGACGCCACCTTCTGGGACTTGGAAATAGCTCAGAAAATAATAACTAGAATCCGAGCAACAAATAAAATGTCGCTTTGTTTTGATGCCTGGTTCTCCTCACCCACTTGCTGTGTTCTTTCTCTATCTCCTCTTCACTCTGTACTTAATCTGTCACTATGGGAAACACCCACTCAAAGTCTCAGGGTCTCACACCTCTTGCTTGTCTTCTTAAATCCTTAAAACAACTAGGACCTTCAAATACAATCAGGCCAAAACACCTGAAGTTCCTGTGCACCACTGCCTGGCCTCAGTACGAGTTAGATAATAACTCTGTTTGGTCGGACACTGGAACCTTAAACTTCAATATTTTGAGAGATTTAGAAAAATTCTGCCATTGTAAAGGCAAATGTTCTAAATTACCATACATCCAAGCTTCATTTGATCTCCGTGCTAATCCCTCCCTCTGGAAGTTCCTGTGCACCACTGCCTGGCCTCAGTACAAGTTAGATAATAACTGTTCGGCCAGACACTGGAACCTTAGACTTTAATATTTTGAGAGATTTAGGAAATTTCTGCCATTGTAAAGGCAAACGGTCTGAATTACCATACATCCAAGCTTCCTTTGATCTCCGTGCTAATCCCACTGTCTGGGTCCCATGTTCTTCCCAGCAGGATCTTCTCGCTAAGACAGTTTCACGGGATCCCAACCCCCAGCCTGAGGCACAGCCAAGTCCTCCCCATGCTCTCCCCTTGCTATACTCTCCCTTGCCTCCCATTTCAGGGCCCAACCCATCTCTCCTCCTTTCTCCAACTCGAACTCCCTCTCTATACCACAATGTTTCCCCTCTCCAGCACCACTCTAAGTCCATCATCCACTCTCCTTCCCCTAACTCTCCTCTACTTAAGGATATGCAAAACTTTAAACACCTCCTTGCCAAATATTCCCTAGTCTCCCTTATTCTGGCTTCTAGCTCAAATAACCTGTTTATCCCTCCTATAATCTAACTTCTACTTTGATTCCAGGCCCTGCCTAACCCATTTATCCCTCCTGTATCTAACTTCTACTTTGATTTCAGACCCTGCCTCTGGTACCCCTGCCCCTCTGTCCCCTCATGGACAGGACACCCTTCCCATCTCTTCCACTCCAACAGTTATATACTCTAAACAGGGTTATAGCACAGTTTTCCTTAATTGATTATGCTGGAGGTTGTAAATGTCAATTTGATAATGTTTAACTATGTACCAATTGCTTTTTTCCACCTAAAGCAAGGTTTTCATAGACCACTCACTAAACTACATAAGGTAAAAGATTTACCTAAAAACTTATAAAACACAATATGTAATATTAACTTATTACATTATCTTATTTGTATAATTTAGATTCCATGTTCTTTTAATAAGATGATGGTACACACTACTTTCTTCTGAGTCAAACAACTACCACCTTCATGACTTCAGCTGTGTCCACTAACAAAAAAATCATCACAATTGAACTTGATGATTTGACAAACTGTATTCTTTAATTAAAAGAGAAGGAGTAAACAGGGTCATTGGACCCTCACCTGAGTATCCGCCTGCTCTTCCCAGCCAACTGTATGTAATTTGACCCTAATCACATGGTCTCCTGGACTTGGAAAAGACTAAAGTATATTATCTAAAAAGGCTAGGAAGAGAAGGCTTGATCCATGCTGGGTTAAGGCTTTCCGATGTAAATACTCTCAGGTCACTCATACACCTCAGCAACCCCTCAGTCATCTCTGTGAGTAAGCTCAGTAAATTCACTGGTTCCCCC